AGTCCATGCAGAGTGCCTCCTATTACTCATGTTCCAGTTTTTCAAAATTTTGTGTTGAGGGGCATCATAGAACAGGTGGAGCTGCTGCCTGCAATACTTGCATGCCGCATGAGTGTCAGCTAAAATCCTGGCATTCTATTGCTGACCCAACCACCTACTAGCCTGTCTGTGTGAGCAGATGTTCAAGTGCCTGGGCACACTAGCACCCTCCCGGGAGACTGCGAAGAAGTTTCTGGCATCATCCTGGCCTAGGCTTGACTACTTTGGCCCTGTGGAAAGTAAAGCAGCAGTTGGAATTTGCTGTGTTTCTGTAAATTCTGCCTTTCAAAAAGTTTAACTAAATTAAAAAAAAAGCGAGCAAGAGACAATTTTTCCCCCTTCTTTCTTTTCTTTCTTTCTTTCTTTTTTGAAAGGCAGACAAAGGGATCTTCATTTAACCATTAACCCACATAGCTTTGACAGGCTGAAACCTGGAGCACCACACCATATCCAGGCTTTCCATGTGTGCGGCACGGGGCTAAGGACCTTGGCCACCTTCAACTACTTTCCCAGGTACAGTAGCAGGGAGATACTTTGAAAGCCCAGCAGCTGGGATTTAAAACACTGATACAATACAGATTTGTGTTACAGGGGCGGCTTAGCTCACCAAAACTCACATCCCATGGAGCTATTTTTGGAAGCAGAGATACTTTAAACAACTTACCAAGTCCATCTGCATGTCACTCCTTGCTCTAACCAATATTCAGGGTCTGTTCTAGCCTTGAGACTACATTAAGCTGCTGTTATTCCCCCAAAGACAGAAATAATAAAGCACACAAACTATGTCATTATCTCAGTTAGTCCAGAAGGACTAGAGGGCAGGGGATGGCAGATGACAAAACTGCCCATTGATTCTTTCTTTCTTTTTTTTTTTTTTTAAAGATTTATTTATTCCTATTACAAAGTCAGACATACAGAGAGGAGGAGAGACACACAGGAAGATCCTCCGTCCGATGATTCACTTCCCAAGTGACTGCAATGGTCGGTGCTGTGCCGATCCGAAGCTGGGAACCAGGAACTTCTTCCTGGTCTCCCACGCGGGTGCAGGATCCCAAAGCCTTGGGCCGTCCTCGACTGCTTTTCCAGGCCACAAGCAGGGAGCTGGATGGGAGTGGAGGTGCTGGGATTAGAACCAGCACCAATATGGGATCCCGGTGCGTTCAGGGTGAGGACTTGAGCCACTAGGCTACGCCACCAGACCCTGCTCATTCATTCTTGAGAACTCAGCTCACTGGAATCAGAATTCCAAAATGAAAAAGGCTGGGATAGATGTTGGCATGTCTGGGGTGGAGACACAACTCCTACATGGGCACAGATGTCCAAGAACTTGAACCTTTTCCTGCTGCTTTCCCAGCCTGCAAGCAGGGAGCTGGATTGGAAGTAAAGCAGCAGATTTGAACTGGTGCTTGTCGATATGGGAATGCCAGTGCAACAGGAAAGCTTAGCTAATCTTGACACAGCACTGGGCCTCGATTTCCACTTACTTTTCTTTCTTTTTTTTTTTTTTTTTAAGATTTATTTACTATTTTTATTGAAAAGTCAGATATACATAGAGAAGGAGATATAAAATTTTCCAACTCCGTAAGTTCACTCCCCAAGTGGCTGCAACAGGTGGAGCTGAGCCTTTCCAAAGCTAGGAGCCTGGAGCCTTTTCTGGGTCTCTCACGTGGGTACAACATCTAATGGCCCTGGGCCATCTTCTATTGCCTTCCCAGGCCACAGGCAGGGAACTGGATGGGAAGTGGGGCTGCTGGGACACGAAAGGCACCACATGGGGTCCTAGCGTGCAAGGCAAGACCCCAGCCGCTAGGCTACCACACTGGGTTCTCCACCTCCACTTCCAATCCAGCTTCCTGGTCATGTGCCTCTGAAGGCCAAAGTGATGACTGAACAATTTGGTTCTTTGCTAAGCAGGCATGAGACCTAGAGATCCCAGCTCCTGTCTCTGGCATAGCCAACCCTGGCTATTACGTTTGGGGAGTTAATCAGATGAGATCTAATTTGGCATCTTGCTAATAAATTACGTGTACACAGGTTTTTTTTAAGATTTATTTTATTTCATTGCAAAGTCAGATATACAGAGAGGAGGAGAGGCAGAGAGGACGATCTTCCGTCCGATGATTCACTCCCCAAGTGAGCACAACGGCCAGTGCTGTGCTGATCCAAAGCCCGGAGCCAGGAACTCCACCCAGGTCTCCTACATGGGTGCAGGATCCCAAGGCTTTGGGCCGTCCTCGACTGCTTTCCCAGGCCACTAACAGGGAGCTGGATGGGAAGTGGAGCTGCCGGCATTAGAACCAGCTCACATATGGGATCCTAGTGCGTTCAAGGCGAGGACTTTAGATGCTAGGCCATTGCGCCGGGCCCCATGTCCAGAGTTTTGTAAAAAGAACAGATTTACTTTGTCTCTCCGCATCTATGCATATCTGATTTTCCAATAAAAGTAAATAAATCTTTAACAATGGGGGGGGGTCCAGCGCAATAGCATAGTGGTTAAAGTCCTCGCCTTGCACGCACCAGGATCCCATATGGGCACCGGATCCCAGCAGCCCCGCTTCCCATCCAGCTCCCTGCTTGTGACCCGGGAAAGTAGTCAAGGATGGCCCAGAGCCTTGGGACCCTGCACCTGTGTGAGACCCAGAAGAGCACCTCCTTCCAGGCTTCGGATAGGCACAGCTCCGGCTTTTGCACTCACTTGGGGAGTGAATCATCGGACGGAGGATTTTCCTCTGTCTCTCCTCCTCTGTATATCTGCCTTTGCAATAAAAATAATTAAAAAAAAAAATGAGCAATTTAGCTAGTATGATGGCTCAACTGGATAATTCTCTACCCGCAAGTATCAGTATCCCATGTGGACACCAGCTTGTGTCCAGGCTGCTCCACTTCCCATCCAGCTCCCTGCTTTGTGGCATGGGAAAGCAGTCGAGGACAGCCCAAAGCCAAAGGATCCTGCACCCATGTGGGAGACCTGGAGAAGGTTCCTTGCTCCTGGCCCCAGATCGGCACAGCACCGGCCATTGCGCTCACTTGGGGAGTGAATCATCGCATGGAGGATCTTCCTCTGTGTCTCTCCTCCTCCTCCTCTCTGTGTATCTGACTTTGTAATAAAATAATATAAAAAGAAAATCTTTGACCATCTAGGTGTCTGTGATGGGAGCATGAGTTTTAACAGTTTATTACTGATTCCAAGATTCACTAATAACTTCCTCTAAGTGAAGATTGTGAAACAGGTTCACTTATTAGTGTAATATTCATATCCATCTATGCTTACGATTTCTAATTAGAAATTTGTAAGTAGTATTTTTTAAAATTTTTATTGGAAAGGCATTTACAGAATGACCTTTCATCTGCTGGTTCATTCCCCAAATGGCTTCTAGTCAGAGCTGGGCCAATTTGAAGCCAAGTGTTTTTTCCAGCTCTTCTATATGGATATACGGTCCCAAGGCTTCAGCTCATCTTCTATTGCTTTCCCAGGCCATAAGCAGAAAGCTGGGTGCGAAGTGGAACAACTGGAATAACAACAGATATTCATATGGGATGCTGGTGCTTGCAAGTAGAGGATTAGTCAAGTGAGCCATTGCACTAGCCCTAGGAAGCAGCTTATGATTTAAGCACATTCTGCGAAAGGCTAGAACATTTTCCTAACAATCTTCTGATAGTAGGCATGAAACTTAGACCTAAGATTCTGAAATCATAGAAAATGGGATTGGGTCTATGGCATAGTAATTTATGCCTTCATTTGTGGTGCCAGTTCAAGACCTGGCTGCTCCACTTGCAATCCATTAACCTGTATATGTGCCAGGGAAAGCAGAGAAGTTGGCCCAAGTCCTTGGTGCCTGTACTCATAAGAGACACCTTGAACAATCTCTAGGCTGACCCAGCTCTAGCCTTTGCAGCCACCTCAGCAATGGAACAATGAATGGAAGCTCTGTTCAACTAAAAATGAATATTAAAAATTATCAGGTTGAGCCCGGCACCGTGGCCTAGCAACTAAAGTCCTCACCCTGAATGCACCAGGATCCCATATGAGAGCCAGTTCTAATCCCGGCAACTCCAGTTCCCATCCAGTTCCCTGCTTGTGGCCTGGGAAAGCAGTTGAGGATGGCCCAAAGCCTTGGGACTCCGCATCCTTGTTGGAGACCTGGAGGAAGCTCCTGGTTCTGGGCTTCAGATTGGCACAGCACCTGCCATTGCATTCCCTTGGGGATTGAAATCAGACGGAAGATCTTCCCCTTCTCTGTATATCTGCTTTTCCAATAAAAATAAATCTTGACTGTTTAACAGACCAAGTTCCTATCACATACAAGGTGACCTGGAATGACCCTGAATTCCCATCTAGGCCCAGTTCTGGTTGTTGTGTACATTTAGGGGCGAATCAGTAAACTGGAATTCATTTGTCTGTGCATGAAAAAATAAATACATTTAAAACAAGAAAAAACGTTCATGAATCAGTGGGTTTATACTTTGGACAATCCCAATCCCTTAATCTTTACCGAAGTTGGACTCTTCTACCTTTAGACTTCACTCCAAATTCACAACCATTCATTCTTTTTTTTTTTTTTAAAGATTTTATTATTCTTGTTGAAAGGCGGATATACAGAGAGGAAGATCTTCCCTCCGATGATTCACTCCCCAAGTGAGCGCAACGGCCGATGCTATGCCAATCCGAAGCCAGCAGCCTCTTTTGGGTCTCCCACGCAGGGGCAGGGTCCCAAAGCTTTGGGCCATCCTCGACTGCTTTCCCGGGCCACAGGCAGGGAGCTGGAAGGGAAGCGGGGCTGCCGGGATAGAACTGGCACCCATATGGGATCCTGGGCGTGCAAGGTGAGGACCTTAACCACTGCGCCGGGCCCCACAACCATTCATTCTTACACTGTTCATACTTCGAATGTATAGCATTGGTTCATGTATACTATTCAAAAACCAGGCTAATAGAAAACATTGTAAATGGCACTACACAATTAATCAAGCAAATTTTTATTGAAGCTTAAATTGTGGTACAGAAATACATTTCAATCAATTGAAGTCCAACACCAATGAAGGGAGAAATTATGGCACCAAACGTTTCCTCCTCTATCACACTAAGATTGGATTAGTATTCAATCTACAGCTTTCATTTCTGTACGCCTTGTTCCATACAAATTTGTGCAAGATTTCCACATCAGAATTCTTAAATGTATTAAAAAGAAAATCAGACCTCAAACCAACAACCATCATTAAATCTACTGGGATACTGTTCAAGAACAAAATCCACTTTCAGTATTGGTCCTCAAGACAGCAACTCAAAATATTTAGGTGCTGTACTCATTACAGAATCAAATGGATCCCACTGACTGAAAGCTTCAAGGAAACTGTCCATCAACACGTGTTCCAACTAGAAGTCAAAACAGTGTCCCAACCACTTGATTTCAAACCAAGTAGATCTTATGCTTAGAAACACTAAAAAAAGGTGCTTCATTTATAAATACGGAAGGAACAAAACATCACTGTGTCAGTCCAGAAATTATCTTAACATAATGTTGTGAGAACATGATAAAAAGGAAAGTTACTCTACATTTCTGTTCTGCCAGTTGCTTGCATTCCACAGCAATTGAAAATATAGCCAAAAGATGTCAACTCTTGGAAACATTTCTAGTCATTCAGAATTCTACATTGTATTTCACTCATGTCTTCTGGTTTGCAGTACTTCTGAATAAGCGGCACAATTCTTGTTGTGAGCAGTCATTCATTTGATCCAGCGATTTCCTTGGTCAAAGGTAGTAGAGGCACATGTGAAGTTAGAACACTCACATCCTTTACAAAGTCACACAACTTCTAAGCTGGGAGATGGACAAGACACTGACTCTGCTTTGAACGAAACTTTATACTATGCTATCAAATGTTATGGTCAATAATCCAAACTGACTCATTGAACCCAGCACAGCCTTTGTCCAAATAGTATATTTTCCACATAGTTGGGCCAGGACACCCTTATTTCAATCTAAAATTTTCTATGGTCTTCCTTGCCAATCAAACTAGGTAGGTTTGTCTTTGCATTCTTCCAAAAACTCCATGCCAACTAAAAGGAGACTAAAAATCATGCCTTTAGAAAGAAAGTTCAGCCCAGGGACTACCCGTGCTTTCCCAAATGGTTATTGGAGTAATATATAAACCCACAGTGTGACAGTGTATTGCTTTATCTGGGGGACTTGGGCAGACACCATGGTAAGGGAAAAATTCAATCAAAGTACAAATGCAGGGAGCAATTATGTTAAAATAGAAATACACAAAATGAGTAACTGCAATCATTTTCAGAGGAATCAACTTGTGAAGAAAAACTTTAATTGCTGTTGCAAAAAACATCTGTATGAAGTAGAAATTGGTTTCAATAACATTAGTAGAGAATACGTTCTAGAAAGTGGAGGTAACTGGACGTGAAATCCTGGCAGCAGTAGAACAGTCCCAGATGGTTGGATTGAGGCCAACACCTAATGAGGACGAAAGCCTTGTCTGTGGGGAATTTTGGATGATACCTGCAGAAATATTATGCTGCGCAGAAACCAAATCGAATTGTTTTCACAAGTGTTGTAAAGTTTCATAGAGTCAAAGGATTTTTCTACATGCACTTCAATTTCACAGCAAGAGTGGCATAGAATACCTAAACACAGAAGAGAGCATTCATGCAAGATATCTAACTCCTTGATATAATAATGCATACAATTCAAAATGATTACACTATCATTACATCTAGGGCTTTCTGCAACTACAAGGTGGTGGTTATGGAAAGCGTGGCCCCCAGTATCAACATCTAGAAAGCAGCCACCACCTTCTATGTGTGTTCTCTTTTTGCGTTTTTTCTTCATCTTTCTTAATCAACTCTGCTGTTGTTGCTGCTTCTTAGCAAAACTGGTAAAAACGAAATTGTAATCGTTGAACATAGCGCTCTGGCAATCAAGACGCTTAAAACCTTCAATCTTCTGGGGCGAAGAAAGCACTGTGCGACATTTAGAACTCTGGGGAAAAATCCAACAACCATTAGTGATGTCAGTAAGTTACGTAGCAACTATGCCTCCATCTTATCTTATGGTCCTCCCACCAGACCTGTCAACTGCAAAAATTCAAAGAGGAGCCCATTAGTGGGCTACCTACAAAACCATGATTAACAGAAGTCCCATGAAATACCTATCAGCAACCTCACTAGAATACAACCTACTATAGGTCTCACTAGCCTTATATATGCTTATGTATTGTCAATTAAGAAATCAAATTACCTGATTAACAAACAAGGTGGTCACAAATTTTCCTGGCTTGAAGACTTCCACAACTTTCCGGATCAGGTCATCATAGGAGGTCTGACTTAAGTTGGTTTCAAAGCTAACATACGAAAATTCTGGTTCTGGAGTGATGTGAATAGTCCAATAAGTTCCCTTAGAGAAACAGCCTTGTGTTAATAATGGAAAACACATAATCAAGCACTGAAACAGTTACTGAAGCAAGACAGTATCACTCACATCCGATTTCATTCCATTCATTGAATACCCACAAGGATTGAACAGTGTGGCATCAATGACAGAACCTGGTATCAGGTCACGAATTCCACTCTCCTGGGGAGCCAAAAAAAAAAAAAAAGACCAAGAATTAATTAAACACTATTTTGAATTAAAAAAATGTTGTGTCCTGGGAGAGGGACGCAGCAGTGCTGCTGCAGGGAATGCTTACACGAGTGACGTCCTTTGCAGTAACACCATCTTTCATGTAGAACTGGTCCATGACTGCTGGGTCTAGCTCACTCATCAGAATCTCCAGGGTTTGGTCTGGCTGGCTGATGACGCGACTCTCTGGGAAATCCAGAGTGTACAAGTACCTGCATAAGAGACAACAGTTCCCGAAAATGGCTCATTGGCGATTTCAAACAAATCCTACACAGATTACAGACAAACTCCAATCTATTACATTAAACATACCAACAGTCAGAATTCATGCGACCCATACAGTATGCTGCTCCATCTGTTGAAGAAAGAGAATGTTAAATAAATATAATGTTCATTGCACAGGATGGTTTCTTACTGACCCTTTTCGTTTTTTGTTGTCTTACTGACCTTTTTAATAGGCAGTGAGATACTATCTTATACAAACCAGAGAGGTGACCAATTAAGGGAGATTACAGCTTACCCTCCCCCTAAAATTCTTTAGAAAATGAAATTTGGTGACTCATTTATCTTCTCTCCCAATTAAACACAAAAATCAATTATGCAATACTTCTAATACTGTTACAAGGCCGTTCATGGAAAGGGTCAGGGGTTAATACATGTCTATTTCATAGCAGTGTGTCTGGGTTTCATAGCTGTGATGCCAACTCCAGCTTCTGCTAAAGTAGACCCTGGGGGCAGTGGTGTGCCTCAAGTTACTTGGCCTCCTACTACCCAATGTGAGACCTGGACAGTGCTGGCCCCAAGAGCTGCCCTTCATCCAGCCTTGCTAGACAATACATTAATGGACACAAGATTTCCAAGTCTCTCATTCTCTCTCTTAAATACAGTGCAGGTGGGGCATAGCACTGTGGCATAGTGTGAAGCCATTCCTTGTGGTACTAGCATCCTATATGGAGTCAGTTTGAATCCAGGCTGCTCCACTTTTGCTCCACCTCCCTACACATAGAAAAGCAGTGGAAGATGCCCCAAGTCCTTAGGATCCTGCATGCACTCACATGGCAGAGCAGGAGCAAGCTCCTGGCTTTGCATGGGCCTACCTCCAGCCAGTGCTACATTTGGAGAGTGAACCAGCAATTGGACGGCTTCTCCTTCTCCCTTGTATTTACACACATGTGCACTCTTATCACTCACACAGAAAACTGACGCGTTAAACTGTCTAACTTTTAAAAGACAAATTTTAATTAATTTAAACATACTTGGGAAAATCGCATTAAGAAACTCTATTTCTTCCTGGAAATTCCGGTGTGGGTACCCTTGGTGAGACGGCTTCATGAAATTCTTACGAGAATAAAAGAAGCTCTAAAAACAAACAAACAAAATTTAAGACACAGATTTCTGTACCATGTTCTTCCAAAGCAATAAGTCATTGCACATTCAAAATAAAAATTCCAGTGTTCCTCAATGGTATAAAGTAGACAATTAGCCATCTTATTGTACACTTAGAATTAGAATCTTGTAATGATTTAACATGCAGATTTGCAAACAATATCACAGGATAAGCACCCAAACATTTCAATCTCCCCACCAAAGGCTTGTCTATGCTCTGGCATACTTACTTGAATTGAGTCAAACCCACTGTAATCCCGAGCAAGCTTCAACAGGGGAACCAGTGCTTTCAGCAAGAGGGTGGTACCACATGTCTTCAAAATGAAACGTCTCTTGGAGACAAACATGCTACTCTCACTGTGGATGAAGAAAGTCGCATTATTATAATGCTTATGTACTACTCAAGAATTATCATTTATAATTTTTGATGAGCATCTCAAAGAAGCAAATACTATTCTTTCCTATTAGCTTATGCTTCTAGAGCCTCACAGAAACAGGCCTTGAACAGATTTTAGTATCCATGACACTAGCATCACGAATCTATCTCCATGTCTTTCTGAGAAGATACCCACAAGTATACGGATATTAGCCACACAAAGCCAAACTACATGCAATACCCAGTGTCAATGGTGTATGCCTAAGCTTACCCAGTAAAGTTGTACTTTCCTCATCTTGCACCACCCCTCAATCTTCAAAGACTGTTTCTGTAACCATTTCATTATTTCTTCCAAATAGATAATAAGCTCCATGAGGGAGCTGTCACTCACCACTATACCCCAGGGCTCAGCAGATAGTACTCATTCTGCTATCATGCCAAACATGGGCTTAGTGCGTCTTGCCTAATCTAACAGCCCCAAGGACCATCAAAACATAAGCTAGGCATTCGAAGTGCATACTGACAGCTCTGTGCCAATAAGAGGTAGGACTCATGCCCACACTAAACCTGCATCTTTTTATCTGGCGAAGTCAATTTTCCCTTTGCTGATTTCCAATACCGAGGTCCTTTGAGAAAAGGACTACTTGAGATTGTTTGAGCAAGGTGATGAACATCTATCCTCCTCTGACAAGTTCTTGCTTCTGGTTACCAGGAATGATGGTGGAAAGATGGTTACCAGGCAATGAGGGTGGAAAGCTGTTAGGTAAGGCTCCCAACCAAACAGCTAGAAACATTCAACTCTTTAATATCACTTCATACCGCAGTTTTGAAAATGAGGTCAATGATCCTAGAACTAAGATTGAGGGGAGGACCTGGCGCCCTGGCCTAGCAGCTGAAGTCCTCGCCTTGAATGCGCCAGGATCCCATAGGGGCTCTGGTTCTAATCCCGACGGTTCCACTTCCCATCCAGCTCCCTGCTTGTGGCCTGGGAAAGCAGACGAGGACGGCCCAAAGCCTTGTGACCCTGCACCTGCATGGGAGACCTGGAGGAAGTTCCTGGATCCTGGCTTCGGATCGGCACAGCACCAGCTGTTGTGCTCATTTGGGGAGTGAGTCATCGGACGGAAGATCTTCCTCTCTGTATATCCAAGTTTGCAATAATAATAAATAAATCTTATCAAGGGGAAAAAATGACTGAAGTCCTGAGAAGATCTGGCGTGGCTGGCTCACACTTGTTCTACAGCACTTACCTGAGTACATAAGCTTCCTGCTTGTCAGTTTTTGTCACACTTATGATTGAACATTGCACATCCTTCAAAAGTATGTCCCACTCAGATCTATTATTTAAACAGAAAAAAAATACAATTAATTCTTAACAGTCCTTGCCTACTCTCAAAAATTTACTCACTGAAGAAGTCCCGCGACCACATCTTGCCTTTGCTCCAGCTTCTTTTATAAAACTAACATTGACAATGATAGTTAGTCCTTTTTGCTATTCACAGGAAATTCAAAAGTCCATAAACCAAGGAGGGAAAAAAATCACATTAAAACAAAACAAATAAAACATCATTTCACCAATTAGGTTGACAAGATATTTAAAAGCTTGGCTGAGTAAGTGATCTGTTATTAACACTGTTCACATATTTTATGCTGTCAAACTGCCAGCTCATCAACATAATAGTCATCTCTTTTGGGGAACCATGCAGCTCTCTAATGTGATGAAAAAGCCCATTTCAACAGTGAAAAGCATAGCAGAGCAAGAACAAAACTGAACTAGTCTCACTTTTACCCAGTTAAGATGGAAGCAAGTACCTTTTTTTTTGTATGCCCAATTCAAACAGGCAAATTTTAAGAGTTTCAAGGAACATCTTCAGATTTTTAGATTAAAGTCTATAAATATTCTAAGGTCCTCAACATTTGGCTGGCCAGGCTTCTTCATGCATGGAAATGACCCTTTGTTTCTTATGCATATCTTGTAAAGGAAATGAAATAGCATGTTCAGTGCGACATTTGTCTTAGTGTTCTGTATTAAAAAGCAAGCATAATAAAAAGCCCCATTAGAATGCTGTGCCCATTTCATCAATTTGGTAGAACAAACTGTTCCTGGCCATGAATATGGACATAATTTGATTAAGAAAACAATTACTAGATATAAAGAATTCGCCCACCTCTTAACTGCATACTAATACCCCCTATCCATACTTTCAGCTACCCAAGACCAACTACAGTACCACACCCAAGAGTGGACATCATCACGATTTAATGATCCAGAACCAGCCAGTGCACGTGCTCCCAATTCATAGTGCCAGCATTGTACACCTCATTTCACTTTTCCATATGCACACTGTCATCTGACATCACCACAGGCAGGGGGATGAATTCATTTCAAGATACTAAGAAAGATCACATGCATATCTTATTACAGGATCACTGTTACAATTATTGCACTTCATTATTCATTTTTGTTAGTCTCTTATCATTTCATTATCTCTTATCACAACTGATATACAAATCAATCTTTATTATAGATATGTATTTGTAGCCATTCAGTTCAACTCAGGCCACACCCTAGGTGACCTTGGAGGTAATCCCAAATCCTATGGGACACACAATATCATTAAGATAATCTGTGCTATTCCCCCCACCATGGCTCAAAGGCTAATCCTCTACCCACAAGCATTGGTTTGTGTCTTAGCTACTCCACTTCCAAAACAACTCCCTGCTTATGACCTGGGAAAGCAGCACCCAAAGCCCTGGGCCCCTGCATCCTATGGGAAACCTGGAAGAAACTACTGCTTCCTGGCTACAGCTGACAGTAATAAGAATGAAGCAGTTAGGATTACAGAAAATAATTTAAACAAATAACTAAATAAGTCAATAAGTCAATGTCACAATCCTAGGAGAGCCACCTCTCATTTGTCTATAGTTACAGTTTGATTTGGTATTTGGTCATACCACATGTGATTACCACATAGCCCAACCTCAGTAGCTTACAACAAAGACCAAGGACTCAGTCCCAGTCAGTGTGCTGTTTGGAATAAAGCATGGATCAGTCCCACCAGCATTACTAAGCCTGATGTGCCAGCCTAACTCAACACTACTCAATTTACAAAATAAATTTGCAAAGTACCCCGGCAAACTGTATAAAATCATTTAAAATTCTTCTGTCCTCACCACTAATTTAGATAGAAAGCAGGGCACTGAAATAGAAATCATCAAACTTTCTGTGAATGGCTATAGAGCAAATACAAAATTTCCTAAGCAAGACAGTCTATGTTGCAACTGCTAGGCTTTGGCCTTACAGAGAGAAAATAATAATACACAATATATAAATGAATAGATGCGGCTGAATTCCAGTCAAATCACACTTATTCTCTACACAGGAAAATGTATTTGAAGAGTTTCAGAGTTGTTTCTCCTTTTTGTGTATATGAATAGCACTGCACCTTAATTTATTTTAAAGGTAGTTACATATAGATGGAGAGAAAGAGGGGGAGGGAAGAGAGGTATCTTCCATCTGCTGGTGCATTAACAGGGATGGGCTGTTCCACCTCAGATGCAGCTCCCAACTAACACACATGACAAAGCAGCAGAATGCCCAAGTCCTGGGACTCTACCAAGTGAGAGATTGAGATAAAGCTCTTGTTTCTTTGCTTCAGCCTGGCTCAGCCCTGGCCACTGCCATCATCTGGGGAGTAAACCAGTGCACATAAGATCTCTGTAATTCTACCTTTCAAATAAACACACACTTTTTAAAAATTATCTTTTTATTTCTTCACAGTTTCAACTCCAGCACTGAATTTTTCTTTGGACTGAAAACATTTTATATTCCAAGTGAACAATGACTGTCTTTTCTTCTATCCTTTATACTCCACAATAGTCTCTAGTCCTAGGGGCCATCTCATCTTCATGGCTGTGAAGAAAGTATCAGTTCTCTTCCTTCATGGTTGTACAAGGGTTGTCAACCTGTTTTTTCTCTACTTTATGTAGAAGTCTCTCTTCAGAACCAATTATTCTATCTTTGTACTTGGAAGAATTGGTTTTCCACTCCCAACTACTTTTTCTTTTAGAATAAGTTTCATATCTGTCATTTTACTTATTTCTCTAACCCTCTGAAAATTGGGTTAAGTTTCACATACTATTTCACATGTTTGGAATGTCTTTAATTCTGTGAAAACTTCATTTTGCAGCTCATGGCCGGTGATGCGCCAATCTGAAGCCAGGAGCCAGGAACCTCCTCCAGGTCTCCCATGCAGGTGCAGGGTGCCAAGGCTTTGGGCCATCCTTGACTGCTTTCCCAGGCCACAAGCAGGGAGCTGGATGGGAAGTGGAGCTGCTGGGATTAGAACTGGTGCCCCTATGGGATCCTGGCGCAATCAAGGCGAGGACTTCAGCTGCTAGGCCAGGGCGCCACACCCCGCCCAGCGTGAAAACTCTTAAAAAGCTCTACGAGCAAGAGGACCACGTTGCCCTGGGTGCCAGATAGGGAAATTGTGGTGAGTTGAAGAAAGTGATCCCCTAACATTTTATATATAAACACTTCTGATCTGCTCACACATGATTTAGCTCTATGTAACACAAAAGCTTGAAAATATGGTCCAGACTGTTCTCCAGTTAATACACAAGTGACGGCAGATTTGAATACCATGATAGAGGCTTTCACGGCTAAATGGATATTGGGACCACAACATAACTCACAAACACAAAAAAACAAAAAACCTGGCCTTTCTTTGGGGGAAGTGCTGGGCCTATTGGTCAAGATACCATTAGGAGACCCATATCCAAGTGGCTGGGTTTGAACTGGCACCAGTTCACATGTATCAGCTACTCACATGACTTCAGCCTGGCCTAGCCCCAGCTGTTGTATTGGGAGAAAGAACCAGTAGATGGGAGAGCTGTCAAACAAGCAAAACCAACCTAGAACACCTGCCCTGAATTATTGCTAGATACAACAAATATTTGAGTTCCTGTTATGGTCTAGGCTAGGCATTGACATAAACAATGCTGAGTTTTCTTTCCAAATATTTATTCATGTTAATGTACTTGAAAAGCCAAGAGTCAGTCAGGAGCTCACAATAGCCAGAAACATACAACTCCAACCAGGCCAGGTCACATGTGTGTGGCGGGATCCCAAGCTCTTGCACCATTATCTTCTACCTCTCAGGCAGCTGGATTAAAGACAGTAGCTGGGACTTCCCAGTAATGCAGCCTTAACTGCACAAGGCTCCTCTCTCCCAGAACATTTTTTCACCCTTGCTTGGTTCAATCTGCATGAGGGCAACACATGGACACAGAGAACCAATTATCTGTAATTGAAAAAATAAATAAGGTTGACTAGCAACAGTGCCAAGACTACACAATGAGAGGGAGATGACAGTTTCTTCAACAAATAGTGCTGGGGAAAAAGGATCCACACACAACTGAATAAATTACTACATTTAGATTATATGCAAAAATTCAAAATAGACCACAAACCTGAATGTACAAATGAGAACTATAGAACTCCAAGAATATGTAGGATAAAAGCATCAGAAAAGTAAACTTGACAACGATTTTTGGCCTAACACCAAAAGTACAGCCAGGGACAATATGGTGGCTCACAGGCTAATCCTGACTGCAAGCTGCCTCTGGTAGCTCTACTTTTGATCCAACTCCCTGTTTCAAGCCTGAGAAAGCAGCAGTGGATGGCTCAAGTCATTGGAATCCTGCACCTCTGTGAGGGACCTGGAATAAGATCCGGATCAGCTCAGTTCTGGACATTGCAGGCATTTGGGAGTGAACCAGGACAGAATTATCTCTTCCCACCTGACTTTTTTGTTGTTCAGAAAGTTACTTTTTTTAAATTATATTTTTGACAATCTTCACATAGTTAATTAGGGTAAAAAGGTTCAAGGGCTATAGGGAAGTGTGTAAGACTATGATTTCCATATTGTTTCCTTCATGTATCTGAGGTAAAGGGGGATATTGAGGGAGAAGTCCCACCTAGTTTCCTAACCACCCCAGGTCCGGGATGTGGGGCATGCTCTGAGGGTCTTGCTCAAGTGGTTTTGATAGTTCAACAGTTATGAATCGCTGCCAATCTTGCCACTCCAAGCACGATGAGGTCTTTGAAGAATCCACTGATTTACATGGCCTACATCTTAGAGTATCTGTTTGCTCAGTATTTCGCTGCAAACATATAGCTGAGGTGGTTGATTGACTTGTTCTGTCTTATCTTGGTTAGGGTTCTGAGTCTGGCATTTCGTTTGGGGAGATCCCAAAAGAAACTTCGTCTGAGGTGTTCCCAGACCAGATTCTTGTATGTACTAGCAAGTACAGGGCCCAGCATAGCCCATCG